AGATAGAATTTCAAGTATCTCATATATAGTTGAAGAGACAGTCAAACTTACTGATAAAACAAATATTGGAAAATTAAATAAAGAGATTATGGAATATCATGCCAAGTCTAGTCAGTTTAGTTCAAATTTTTTGTGGTTAAAAGAAGCAATTGAGGATCCAATCACTTGGTGGTCATCTCTAGAGAAAGATATTCCAATTTTAAGTCAGGTTGCAATAAAATTATTCAATTACATTTTGTGCTGGTTTGGGGCAAGTAATATTTTTGTATTCATCTTTCACAAATGGGTGAATATTATTATAAAGATACTCTTGTCTTTGATAGTCCAAAGGAGGTGGTGTTAACACTAAAATAGATAAAGCTCTAATTTCTTCAAAAATATCTGTTTTCCTAATCTTTAATAAATTAAATTCAACAAAAGAACCATTAGCAACTTCTTGAACTTTCACTGTACCAAAATTAGATGCTTAAAAAAGAAAATGTTGATATTTTTGTATACTTGGTAATTTCTTAAAATAAATTCCCAAAATAGCTTTAATATCTAAGTATTGAAAGCCTTTTTCACCTTCATAACACTGAGCTTTATTTAATCCTGCTGGACTAGACCTTTTTATCACCTCAATCACATGGCCCAGAGAATCTACTCTTGTTTTCCTATAGAGTTTTTTAATCAATCCAAAACTACCATCACATTTGAATTTGGTATGTCCTGGAACCATGAAATTCAATTCAATGCTTTCATAATACAGTCAGGGATATTTCCATAGATGGAAATACTAAATATCGTAATGATCGATAGTATGAAAAATTCTAGAAGACATTCTGATTGGCTAAATTCAACCAGGGATGATACCCTGTAATGATCGACGACATGAAAAGAAATTCTAATTGGCTAAATTCTGTGCAGATCTTTTCGTTGAATAAAAAAAAAATAATAATCTTTAAAGGAAAAGAAAAACAAGAAAACATGGCGGGAGCTTTATTAATTGGTCATATAATTTACAATATTATATAATATGTTCATTTTTAACTTTTCTAGAAGTTTACCCAAGATCAAGCAATGTCAGAGATGCTATTTAACTAATATATAGCATATTA